CAGCCGCTCCACCCGCAGCGCCAGCGCCTCGTCCACAAACCGCACCGCCTCGCGCATGGCCAGGCGGTAGCCGCTGATGATGCTGGTCGGGTGGATCTTGTTGCGCACCTGGCGGGGTCCGGTCGGTCGGGCGTGGTGAGATGGGTTTGGTGATGTTGGGGGGCGGGATATGTTGAGGGGTGGGTTGTGAACACCGTGCAGCGAGGGCAGGTGTTGGGGCGTTCCTCCATCGCTCGCCCGGCTGGTTGCGAGCTTGCAACCAGCACCCTGCAAGCCTACTGCCGGCCAAGCTCCTGGACCCAGCCGGCCGCGTGCCACGCCGAGAGCCCGAGTGTGGCGAAACCGCCTGCACACCTGTTGCCCACACTGCTGTTGCCCGCGGCGCACACGCCGTCACGGAAACGTGCAGAGAGGTACATGCGCACGCATGCACACACACACACACATGCCCATGCACACACACACATTCACTCACATACACACACGTCCCCTCACCAGATCGTTGGCCCGCTTCAGCAGCTCCGCCGCCAGTATGACCACGCTGGTGGTGCCGTCCCCCACCTCCTGGTCCTGCAGGTCTGCCAGCTCAACCAGGATCTGGAGGAGGGCGCAATGAGAGCAGTTTACATAATGAGCGGCGGCGCGACCTCCGCCGCCGCCAAAGGTCCGAGCGTTCCGGCGCGGGGCGGCCCCGCCGCGGGCCCCGGCCGCGGCCGGACTGCCGCCGAGGGGGCCCGAGCGCCCGGGCGGCCTCCGCCGGCGCTAGCGCCGCCCGGCGTGCCCTGCCGCCGGCCCGTGCCGGTGGCTCGGCCGCCGCTTGAGCGGCCTGTTGCTCTGCGGCCCTGCGGCCCCCCCCCAAGGGCTGCCCCGTCGCCCTCAGCTGCGCCCACCTTGGCCGCGGGGTGCTCCACCTCAAGCAACTTCAGGATCGTGGCGCCGTCGTTGGTGACCGTGACGTCCCCAATGTCGTCCACCAGCATCTAGAAAGTGCGAGGGGGCGGCCGGGCAGCGGCCGGGGTCGCGGAGGTTGTGTGCAGGCGGCGGGCGAGGGCCGACACCGGCAGCATGCGCTGCGCCGCTCTGTGCCGCCCCTGCCGATCTGCGGCTGCCGCACCTTGTCCAGCCCAACCGGTCCTAGGGAGGTCTTTACGATGTTTGCGATCGCTGTGACGGCCGTCACGTTCTGCGTTCGCACATCCTGGCCGCTCTGCCGGTCCCCGCCGATCTGGAGCCTCCCGCCAGGCATAGGCATTGCCATCGTGGCAAAATTGCTACTAAAGAGTTTTGCCGACCAGCACACCCAGCCCTGGCCTGCTCTATGCTCGGAGGAGACCTGCGCGGGAGACTGATCTCAGTGCTGATCGCGGTGAAGCAGGCCAAGTCGCTGAAGTGACAAGTGAACAACAAAATGTACGCTGCAGAGATTCGCTCATGTGCACGCGTCCTCACCTTGCTTTCGATGGGTCCCGGGTGGGGCAGGAAGCTACTGGATCGCAGGCGGCCCCCCGAAATGAGCAGATGCAACACCTCCACCTGGTCATCCCCCTGCATCCCTGAAACGCCGGCTGGCGTCATGCTCCATGATGACGGCCGCAGCTCTGTTCATATCTATGGGAGTGTCAGCCAACTGGTGCTGGGCGAGCGCGGCTGCAGGTGGGTTGGCTTGTCAAGTTGGGCCAAATCTGCTCCCGGCCAACTTCCCTTGCTTGTCCCCACACCTGCCGACCAGCTGCCCCCGGCCCCCGGCTGCAGTGATAGGTACTGAAAGCGCAAGGGTAACTCTGATCTGGTCGAGGCAGTCAGGCCTTTCCGACAGCACACACAAGGCAGCACACATTGCAGCAACACGCGAGAGGGGGCGTCGGCGCAAACGGGGGGCGCGGAGAGGGCAAAGGCGGCGGCAGGACGGGGGAGCGGAGAGAGAGAGCGCCTGCAACTTGTCGCGTCATCCGCGAGGGGCAGGGACCCGCTCGTATGCAGGGCTAAGAGCGCCCCGCAACTGGGCGCGCCAACCGCAGCGTCAGCGCGATGCCGAGATGTCAACGCAACAGCCACCCGCAACTGGGCGAGCCCGCCGCAGTGGTGCGCGGGGCAAGGGCGGAGCTGCAGAGGGGCGCGAGGGGACGGACCGGCCACCGCTCGCGGGCGGCCGGCTGCCACCAAATGTGCAAGCTGAAAGCGGCATGCAGCACAGCTACGCTCAACACGGCTCAACTCCGGCTGATGAAAAGGGCCGGTGGTGCAAAGAGTCTAGCTGTCCTGTTGTGGAGAGCGGGTCGTCAGTACCTATCATAACAGCGCAGCTAAAACAACAAACCCATGACATGCCGCGGCGGCCTGCCGACAGGCGCGTTGCATGCGCGCGTGCGCCCGTCGCGACACCGGCGCGCACCGGCGCCGCACGCCTGCCGGCGCCGCGCGCCTGCCTCCGCCTCTGCTGTTTAGGGAGCCAGGCGAGGCCGGGCAGGCGCGGCGGATGGGTCGCGCGTCCGACGCAGCCAAAGCCGCCTCGCGCCATAATGGGCATGGGACGACGGGCCCTTGCCCGGGCGGCAGGTTGGAGGCTCGAGGGAAGGGTGTGTACAACGGAGCGTGTGCGCAGAAGCATTGGTGATGGGGCGGCGGGCGGAGACGGATGGTGTCGCTCGCGGCCAAACGCAACGGTGCGGCTCTGCGTATTGCGTATAGACAGGTCGGGAGTGGAGGCGCACGGCGGGGGTCCGGAAAGATGGGCGGCTGCTGGCCGAGGATTTCGCGTTCTGCGCCGGCGCCGGGGACTGGGGTGCAGCGCGGCCGCACACGGGCCAGTATGCCGAGTCTTTGTTTGGTCAGTCATTTGGTGGGCGGTAGCCGGTCGGTCGGTCTGTTGATTCTGATGATCATTGGCAAGGTGATAAGAGCGGCCCGAGAAGCTGCTGCTGCTGCTGCTGCTGCTGCTGCTCTGCTGCAGCTGCTCTGCTGCAGCTGCTCTGCTGCAGCTGTTGCTGCTGCTGCGCCGCGGCCGCTTCACGGCGCCGCCTGGTCGCGCCGCTGCGCCCCCCCAAACAGTGCCGCCGCCCCCGCCGCCCCGCCGCCGCCGCCGCCGCCCCCCGGCTCCTCCGCCCTCGGCGACGCCCCCGGCCGCGGCCGCCGCCGGTGCACCAGCGTTTCCCTGCAGCTGCTCATCGGCGGCAGCCGCGGGCTGCCCATGCTCGACGGCCCCGCCAGCGCCTGCGCCGTCGCCTCGGCGATCATCGCCGCGCCGGCCGCCGCGCGGTCGCAGCTGCTTGCCGCCTCGAGGACGTCCAGTTTCTCCTCTAGCACCGCGCTGCACAGCAGCATCGCGCGGTCGAGCGACGTCTGCGCGCTCGACGTCGCACGCAGGACGGAGTCCTCAGCATCGGCGCCCTCCGTGCCCGCCGCGCCTGC